TTAAACATCATCCAGTTCCAAGCCCCTTGCCATGGGCAGGAACACCTTCCACTAGACCAGGTTGCTCAAAGCCCCATCCAGCCTGGCCTTGAACACTTCCAAGGATGGGACATCCACAGCTTCTCTGGGCAACCTGTGCCAGTGCCTCACCACCCTCATAGTAAAGAATTTCCTCCTAATATCTAACCTAAATCTCCTCTCTTTCAGTTTAAAGCCATTCCCCCTTGTCCTATCACTACATGCCCTTGTAAAAAGGCTTGTAAAAACCTTGGGAATTCCACACATTCATAAACATATATGTATATTTGCATATTTTAAAAAATACATGTTGTAGTTATAATTGGTTGAATACAGAAATTATCTTAACTGTGACTAACACTATTCAAAGTAATTTCAGAGCAAGGATGCTCTACTGAACCTAACACTGTGACTTTATTATAAAAGATACTGCAGCAAGCTGTGTGGGCTCAGGAGCAGCTGGCTAAATAGGTTACTATGTTAGACATAAGAGTTTTCTCTAAACCCAAAATCTAGCTTACCCACTCACTCTGCGGGTAAGCTTAAAAACCATGCAAGGCCTGTTTCTAAATGTAAATCTCCTAATTTTTTCAGAGCTGTTAAGGGCTTTGGATGTGGTTTGGTTTTATGCTGAAGTCTGTGGGAGAGTCACAGTGGTGTTTGTGTAATCTCTTGCTGTTAATGAATAGCAAGTACCACATCTAATAACATCATCTTACTCTCTGTATCAGGGAATCACAGCATGACATTTAAGGTTGACCAGAAGAGTTTAATGCTGTTACATACTGGTGTAAAGGGTATTACATTCCTACCCCTTCTCATTTGTGTTATAGTCTTTGCCCATTAGAATGAGACATAATAGTTTTGTTGCCCCCTACGGCCTGTGAAAGACCATAAACTTTTAATAGACTTATAAAAAGGAACTGTAACTGTCTCACTAGTCTGCTTTTTAACTGGACAGGGCTATTTTATCTGATCACCTCACATTCATAATGCTGTAAATCTGGGCAGACATAGAGGGTCATTATCTCCAGGTTAAACTTTGACACCAAATTCTCTGCTTATTCCCTGTGCTGTCTTCAGTGCTCTTCATGGTTTACTCCAGCACGCACTGACATTTCACAACATTGCAACAGATCACTTAGAAATTCCTGTCACATTAAATACTTTCGGTTACCTGCCCTCCTAGGCCTCTGAACCAAATGAATACTGTACAACAAATGCCTTACTGCTTTGATGAAGCCATTTAAAGGGGAGAAGGAGCTCCGCAGCTAAGTTAACTAAATCCCACATGATACTATACTGGTTAAATACACCATCTTGTTTACTATCTTTGTATCCTAATTTCTGTTATCCCTACTGTACAGGGTTATTGATAGTGGAAGGAATCCTGCCTCACATTACACACTATAGGAGGAGGACTCAAAAAAAAAACCCCAAAAGCCCCAAAACCAAATAAAAAAACCCCAAAACCCAAACAGCCCACTACCAAACCTTTAGTCACATGATGAAAGACCACACTCTATGGAAAAATGCTTATCAAGTGTTACAAAAAAGAGAATGCAGTGACCGAGGCCAGATGCAACAAAGTGCAGGCTTGTAAGTACTGGGACAACCACGAAAAATAGTGGGAAATTAAGCACAGTGCAAATGACTAAAAGCATCTCGATCACTCATTTTCCTGTCACGGTCTTGTCAGGTTCCCTGGCCTGCATACTTGCAGGGCAGTCTGTGAAGAAGCAGACAAGTTTATCACATAGAATCATAGAATAGTTAGGGTTGGAAAGGACCTTAAGATCATCTAGTTCCAACCCCCGTGCCATGAGCAGGGACACCACACACTAAACTATGTCGCCCAAGGCTCTGTCCAACCTGGCCTTAAATGCCTCCTGGGTTGGAGCATTCACAACTTCCTTGGGCAACCTATTCCAGTGCCTCACCACCCTCACTGTGAAGAATTTCTTCCTTATGTCTAACCTAAAGTTCCCCTGTTTAAGTTTAAACCCACTACCCCTTGTCCTACCACTGGAGTCCCTAATGAAGAGTCCCTCCCCAGCATCCTTGTAGGCCCCCTTCAGATACTGGAAGGCTGCTATGAGGTCTCCACGCAGCCTTCTCTTCTCCAGGGTGAACAGCCCCAGCTTTCTGAGCCTATCTTCATACGGGAGGTGCTCCAGTCCTCTTATCATCCTCATGGACTCTGGACTTGCTCCAACAGCTCCATGTCCTTTTTATGTTGAGGACACCAGAACTGTACACAATACTCCAAGTGAGGTCTCACAAGAGCAGAGTAGAGGGGCAGGATCACCTCCTTTGACCTGCTGGTCATGCTTCTTTTGATATGGCCCATACAGGTACCTTGCTGTCTGTTTGACAAAGTTATTGAATCTGTTTGAGAAAGTTATTCCATCATCGAGACAATGCCAATGAAAAACACAGGCTGAACGCACTTCAACAGCTGAATCAAAGAATATCTGAGTTTTCTCCAGAAAATAATTAGTACGTAAATTTAATAAACTGTTAATTGAAAAAAAAAAAAAAAAAAAAAAAGAAAAATCTTTCTTTTTTGGAGAGTCTTTCTTTTCTGGAGAGTCCTCCAGTTTAACTTTCCCTCTGAAAATGAGAATGGAAAAATAATGAGTTTAAAGGCAAGCCAGGCTCTTTCTAGAATTCCTAGCACTCTGAGAAAATATAAAGAATATTTTTTAATCCCATGATCTTCCATTTGGGTTACACTGCACACAATCTGAACCTGCCTGTTTTTTAACTTGATATGATTCCCAAGAAGGAGAAGGGTCTCTGTACCAAAGTGTCACTGGGGTCAAAGCAATTCAATAACACTTCACTGTCAAAGCATTCATGCCAAAAGTATTGGTATGATTCTATAGTATGTTATTGACAAGATATAGCATGTCTTGGAAGAGAAAACTTTGAAAATAAGACAGAGAATGCATCTGAGGATGTGGATATTCAGCTCATGTTAACTACACAGTAACTACAAAAACCAAGATGAGTAAAGAGAACAGAGGAACTGTATCTAAAACAATGCAGTTCAAAGATGCAAACTTGGACAACATTGACCTATTGGAAGTTAGAACTTTCAAGGTGCTATTCTTTGAGATTCAATGGGATGAATGACAGCTTGGATTTCTGCTGCTATACACTTTCTGTAGTCATTTACTAAGCAATAAAATGCAGCCAACAGTGAGAATGCAAGGAATGTGATTTGATAGCATGTGGCACAATGTCTGTACAGGTATCTATGGTGACAGGAGTTGTGTGTGAGAGACTAAAACCTCAATGAACTAGAATAAAATTACTGCAGGCTTTTGAAAGCTAGTGAGCTCATTAGATTCCAGTCAATTCACCTGGCAAAAAGAATAATTATTATTCCTGTTTTACAGTCATAATTCAGAGAAAGGATGTTTATTCTAGATTATTTGAGGACTCTATGCTACAACTGGAAATTAAACCGTTGTCTTTTCAACCATAGAAATACCCTGATCTCTGTCTGCATAAGAAGACAGTAATACAAGTTTCAATATCAGCTGTAATTCTAGTCGTGTGTGGCAAGTTTCTCCTTCTAAAAGGGCAACTTCATTATGACAAAAATTCAACTTCTGCTTCAATCTGAAATACAACTAAAAGCATACATTTTGGGCAAATCATTACATCAAAATACCCTCTGTACCAAATTCCTTTCCTGTTCTGTATCAGAAGTGGATCTCCATGGTTAAATTCATGGGCAAAGCACATCTAAAGAGGGAGACAAATCTGAGTTTTGACATTGGAGTAGATGATAAAGTGGAGTTAAGAAATCCGCGGAAATACAACAGAAGTGCAACATCTGGGAATGGAATGACATTTTCAAGAAGGGTGTGAAACTAAAATGTACATGCCAGGTGGTAAAATATTTCAGAGTATCAAATGTTTACACTTCAGACTGATAAACTTTTTTCTTGAAGAAAACCAAATAGGATATAAAAATTAAAGGCTATCTATAGCAGAACCACCCCTTATAAAGCACTCCTAAGCAACATACTTTGCAAAATTCCTATGCAAGTGAAATCTGATAGGGTTTTGTGCATTCCATTTGCTTTTGAAGTTTACTGCACTTTCAGGACCACACATTGAATTGGAGCATATAACTAAACAGCAGCGATTTAATTTTGCAAGGTTCAACTCTTTCCTATTGTGGTTAAGTAAGATCTCTAAACCCATTGAAATACACTGTTTTCATACATTTAATACATTGTATTACAGAGAACATCTGTGAATTTATACCTACAGCTGTTATATCATGTCACTGAAGTGCCTACTGACTGCACTTATTCCTGTTAAAACCAGCCTCGTCAAGGTATGTGGAGAGGTGTCTAGAGCATGACAGAATCATAAGAAAAATTCCATTTGTGTTTGCACGCAGTGTACATGATAGTGAACACTGAACCATGGCCCAAGAAAACATGAGCTTCTGCTTCATTTTAAGGAATAATTTATATCCTGCCAAGATTTTTTGGAATCCTGACTTCAGGATTTTGTATTGTTTTGTCTAATGCTTCTCCTTTCCAAATATATCCTTGAACACAAACACAGGAAGTGATGTTTTCTGTTTTCCACAAGAAAAAGTTTAGAGAGAAAGACAGTATCTTTTGCCAGACTGACTTACATAGCTAGCAAAACCAGGTGAGCTACTGGGTTGAAAACCCTTTCTTCATGTGATCTAGAAGAAAGCAGAAAATGGCTTCATATGCTTGAAGTGTTTTTGCTTATCTCATCTATTGTCAGTTCATCTAACAAAAAGATATCTCCTGTCCTACAGATCTCATTTCATGTAAATCCAAAGACCCCCACAGTCACAACAGTGTTTCTTTATAGCACACTTGTTATCAAGCTACTG